AGTGTTTAATGCACTACTTGTTTAAAGGTAATAATGTCTGACAATTGTACCACACCTCCTTTACTGAATAAGGATAAAGGGAGAGTATTGACTAAGAGTTCCATATACAAATCTAGTAGTAGAAAACGGAATCGCCGTGGTCGTGACAATAGTTATAGCTCTTCCAGTAGTCGGGAACGGTATCATTCACGGAGCCGAGTTTCTCGATCTCATAGGCGGCATCACCGTCGTTCATATTCAAGCAGTACTTACAGTAGTAGCTCAAATCGAAGTCCGATTTCGCGGCGACGCATAAGACGTAATAAAAGCCGTAATAGTAAAATAGCAAATGAATCTTCATCTATGCGAGGTTGTGTTAACCACTGCAATGTAGATATGTCTCAAAATTGTCGTGAGCTTATCGGAAATGCGGCAGATAATAATACAGCATGTCATTCCAATACAGAGCATTCTCTATTAAAAACATTAGTTTCGGTTTTGAAGAAAGAGAGTGCTGCGACGTCAGTAGGTATACATGTTCAAGGCTCACAAGACGTTTTAACTGATTTTGATCCCAGCAGTAAATCTCAGTCTATGAAAGATTGGCTTAACAAAATAAATCAGTCTGCGGCAGTCTATGGCTGGACAGAGAGTCAGACTGTTTATTATGCATTGCCTAAATTAAAAGGACTCGCAAAGAAATGGTATGACGGACTGACTTGCGTCAAATTTACCTGGGCTGAATGGCAAGAAAGATTGCTAAAGGTGTTCTCTTGTGATGAAAATTACGGTGATCTATTATATGAAATGTTGAATCGTAAAAGTAGAAAAAATGAAACATTAGTTGAATATTACTATGATAAAATCATGCTTATAAATAGGTGCAAAATTCAAGGCAGACAGGCGGTCGATTGCATTACTCACGGCATTTATGATTATACGAGGGTCAAACTGAAAGTTCTTAGAAAATCAAAAACTGATTACATTAGCCAGTTATTAGTTTTATTATATCTTTTCAAAATATTGTCCATTCACGTCAATACACCGCTGCATGCGATGGAACCACTGGGAAAAGCACTTTGCCCACTCGTCCTTAGGGGTCTCTTCAATGGCATCGCGATACGCAGCCACCGCTTCTTCAGCATTCATAAACCGCTTTCCTTTAAGTTTTTCTTTAATTTTTGGAAATAAATAAAAATCACAAGGCGCGAGGTCGGGGCTATACGGCGGGTGACCCAGTAATTCAACGTTTGATGTCGCCAAATAGTCGATCGTTCGCTTGGCGGTGTGCGACGAGGCGTTGTCGTGGTGAAGGAGGATCCTACTGCGAGGTCGTTTCTCTCGAACTTTTTCCAAGACAAGTGGCAAACAATTGGTAGTGTACCATTCTGCAGAAACTGTTTTTTGATCCTCTAACACAATTGTTGCAAAATGACCTATCCTTCCAAAGAACGAGGCCACCATTTTTTTTCCCGCACTTCGATCTCTCTTCACTTTAGTTGGCAACTCCTCGAAAGGAAACACCCACTGAGCAGATTGTCTTTTGGTTTTAGGATCATAACAGTAAATCCAGCTTTCGTCACCTGTTAGTATGTCGAACACAGCATTTGAGTCACCTCCGTTAAATCTTTCAATCATTTTACGACACCAATCAACACGATGGAGTTTTTGAGCCTCAGTCAAATTATGAGGTATCCACCGGGCGCAAAGCTTCCTGACCGCTAAATGTTCGTGGAGGATTTTGTGCACTTGACTCATACCGATGCCTAAGCTTGTCCGAATCTGTTGATAGGTCACTCTTTTGTCAGTCTCTATCATACGCCGCACAACACAGATGTTATCTTCAGTCGTCGCCGTAGAAGGCCGTCCCTCACGTAAATCATCAGTGAGATTAGTGCGACCACGTTTAAACTCATTAAACCAGTTGTAAACAGTCGCACGAGATGGGGCTTCATCGTGAAAGGCCAATCGTAGTCTATCATAACTTTCTTGTTGACTTAAATGACATCGAAAGTCATAAAAAATCATTGCACGAAAATTTTCTCGTGTTAAATTCATGATGACGTGACACAGACAATTTTCAATTTGCCGCCAAATCGTAAAACAAATGACAAATGAATGAAATATATACTCAGTAATATTGGCAAAGAGTTATATTTTCAAATTTTAGAATTATTTTTTTATTATATTGTTTATAAGTGGCCAGTTCTAAGAACTTTCAGTTTGACCCTCGTAATATAAAGATGAATGTACAATCGGCCCGTTATGATGACCCTGAATTAGTATTAAATCACTTCAGGAATATCCCCACAAAGTCTGGCAATGATGTGTTGCACAATAAACGTAACTTCTTAGACATACAAGAACAACAAAACAAAAAATTGTCAGAGACTCAATTTCGTAGAACAAAACCAAATGAAATTATATGTTATAATTGTAATACTCCGGGACATACTGTAGTTAAGTGTACGAAGGAGATAATAAAATGCAATCGATGCAAACGTCATGGACACTTAGAAGAAAACTGTAATTTTAATTTCAATCCTAAATTCAATGAAAATAACAACACAAAAAGAGCAGAATCGACCACAAAGAGAATTCTTAGCATAGATGAAAATAAGGATAAAAACGATAAGTATTTCAAACAGGTTATAGTTAATGGAGAGCAATTGAGAGGTTACATAGACTTCGGAAGTGAATGTACCCTTATTAGTGAAGAACAATGTAAAAATTTGGGTATACAATTGAACACAGCCAATTTGCCATCTTTACGTGGATTTGGTAACAGTATCATTACTCCCTTAGGTAAAGCACAAATCCGTGTTATAGTAGATTTGGTAGACGTTGATCTCTTAGCTTATGCTGTTACATCAGATCTTTTAAGGACCGATATTTTAATAGGTCAAACTCTTACTGAAATTCCATCTGTTAGGGCGTACAAAACTGACAAATCACTTACCTTATACCAAATTACTGCCAATAAGACAAATTCTATTACATTGAAACCTACGAAGGATTATTATATTCAAAAGGATACCATAGTTGAAGTTACATGTGAATTTAATTATACTGGATTTGTTAGCATAAATTCCGATAGTAGGCAAGCTAATGGAACAATTTATGTAATTTTACCGGGTCTTTACTTTTTGTATAATGGGATTGGACGAATAATTTTAATGACCATAACCGATAGTGAAATCCTGTTATCCAAGACCAAAATAATAGCCAGGGGTATAGGTATACCACACTCCACTTTAGCTACAGATGACAATAAGCACAACTACGTAATGAATATTAGACATCTGACTACTGACATTACCCCAATCGATTGTAGTAAAATAAAAGTAGACTCAGAATTAGACCAAGAAAATATGGATAAATTAGTTGATTTGCTTAATATTTACAGAGATTGTTTTGCATTAACATCTAGTGAGTTAGGGAAAACTGATATCACCGAAATGAGAATTCAATTAAATGATTCTACACCTGTTACATATCGTCCGTATCGTCTCTCTTTATCTGAAAGAGAAAACGTTAAACGAATAATAAACGAGCAAATTCGTGCATTTTCTAGAATTAAAGAAATCCTTACCACTCGACCAGTTTTGAAGATATATAATCCTGAACATCAAACCGAATTGCATACGGATGCAAGCAAATTAGGAATCGGCGGAGTACTATTACAACGAGAACACGAGAAAGCACCTCTTCAGGCTGTGGCTTATTTTAGCCGCCAAACAACTCCGGAAGAACAACACTTACACTCATTCGAACTTGAAACGCTAGCGGTAGTAATGTCGTTAACTCGATTTCGGGTTTATTTAATAGGAGTTTCATTCAAAGTGATTACTGATTGTAACGCTCTGCGAACTACGCTAACAAAACGTGATCTGGTACCTCGAATTGCTCGCTGGTGGCTGTTAGTGCAGGATTATAATTTTACTGTAGAATATCGTCCGGGCACCCAATTACAACATGCAGATTGTTTAAGTAGAAATCCATTGCCTGTCGCTAGCAACGACATTACTGAACTAACGGTAATGAATATACAAGATGGACACTCCTTATCAACACTTCAATTAAGTGATCCACAATTGAAGCTCATAAAATGTGTCCTTGATAAAAATTGTAGTGAAGCTAAAGATGTTAATAACAATTTTATGCTCAAAGATGGGAAAATTTATAGGAGAGTAGGTACAGAATTAAAGTTTGCCATTCCACGGAATGCTCGGTGGAAGATATGTCAGTTGTGTCACGATGAGAGTGGGCATTTTTCCTTCGATAAAACGATAGAAAAGATGCGCCGTGATTATTGGTTTCCGGGCATGACGCGATTTGTTCGTAAATATGTACGGGCGTGTATTCCGTGTGCTTATGCAAAAGAACCATCAGGAAAGAAACAAGGTTGTCTTTACCCAATTCCTAAACCAAAAGTGCCTTTTGAATGCATTCATGTTGATCATTTGGGCCCTTTCGTGAGGAGCAAAACTGGTAATACATATATTTTAGGTATTATTGATGCATTCACGAAATTCATAGTTTTACGTGCAGTACGAAATACTAAAAGTAGGACGACAATACAAGTGTTACGAGATTTTATAGCTTTATTTGGATCGCCTAAAGTTATAGTTTCCGATCGCGGAACGAGTTTCACGTCTGGTGAATTTGCTAAGTTCATTGCATCGAATCAAATAAAACACGTAAAGAATGCGGTAGCAACACCACGCGCAAATGGACAAATAGAGCGATACAATCGATCAGTACTTGGTTCGCTTATGGCATTAAGTATTGATAAAGATGACCGAAATTGGGATATTGATTTGAATAAAGTTTAGTGGAGTTTAAACAATACATTAAATAAAGCTATAGGTAAGACGCCAGTACAGGTGGTTTTCGGTAAAGAAACTGTTAATCTGTCTGAGAGTCATTTGCATGAAATTTCCGGTAATCTCACGACAACAGAAAATTTAGATAAGGTACGCGAAGAGGCATCAGCTAGTATAGAAAAGCAACAACATGCAATGAAAACTAGGTTCGACAAAAAAAGATGCGCTGCTAATATATACAAGTTAGGGGAGTTAGTAATGATATTAAAACACAGCCGTAATATTGGAGATAGTAACAAATTATTACCTCCATATAGCGGACCTTACAAAATTTCTGCTGTTTTAGGCAACGACCGATATGAAGTATGTAGTATAGATGGATTTTCATCTAAGAAATATAAAAATGTGTATTCTGCTGACAAAATGAAGCGCTGGATAGATATTGGGACAAAATACAATTGTCAGACAGGATCAGCAAATGATAGCGAGGGTTCTGATAATGACTAAACTGAACTTACTGACCACTGTAGTGTGTGTACACACACACTCATCACTCCTCATTATATATAAGCCAATGTTAACGTAATTAAAGATATTATTATAATCGCAGTCAGACTGTCATTTCATACACCCGAACCACCAACACTGCAAGGCGACCCTGCCAGTGCTGCCTGTCGGCAGCGCTGAGCAGATGGTTTTTTTAAATTTATTAATATAATGGACAGTCAAAAATAAAAACTTTTTTGTTACTATAATCTATATATAAAATATAATAAATAAAGAAGATATAAATATCATATAATTACATTGCAAGTGAAATATACATATATAGACTTAGAACTAAAAGTGAAATAAATTCTTCAAAAAAAAAAGAACAAAAGGAAGTGAAAAAATAACTGAAATGTGAAAGTAAGAGTTTGTTGCTGACGTTCGAGATGGCTCTGGTAATGAGTTGATGGACAAGCAGGGTGCCGGGAGTCGTAGGTGTCGGAAGTGGATGCAGCCGGGAGCTGTTCGATTACCTATGTTGATATAACGATGACAACGTATGGACAAGATCACGAAGAACGATGTTGCTATCACTTCAGACTAACTCACGGTTTAACATATTTTAATTTTTATTTACACCCTAAAATTATGTAAGAACACATAAATTAAAAAGTAGAAAACTTTATATAAGTATAACGAAAATTAAATATTTGAACTAAATACTCGTAATTAAAATAGTTGACACCTTCAGTGTAACATTTTTAATGTAATTTAACAAAAAATTACATAAAGTTGATATTATTATTATTATTTAGAAGAATTTATTTTTGATTTAGTAGAATAGAATAAGTAATTAATTCTTTCAATTTAATATATTCAGTGAATTAAAACTGTTGTTAACGATAAGCTTTTTAATCTTTTAGAATTAATCAACAGTCACATGAAGGTATTTTGAATTTAAAAAGTCCTTGTTTTTTTTTTTGCAAAACTTGAAAGTTATTTGTAATATTTAATTTCTCTGTGAATGTTGCACAATTAATTATTTAGTGATTCTTTTAATACATCCAAAAGTATATTTAATAATATATTAGATTGCACTGAAAAAAAAAAAAAATCATAGTTTGATTTTGAAGTATATAAAGAACTACGATTCTCTTTGTTTTCATTGTGTTACTGCTTATTTTTTTTTATTAGGTATTAATGAATAACTTTTATGTTTCACAGTTTTAAGTATTCCAGAAAGTCGAGATTATTGCAAAAGGTAACTCTTAGTAACTTTTATATTCACGACGGTTAAAATATTAATTTTCTTTTCTATATCTCATTAACGAAATTTAAAAGTAGTAAAATTAAGATATTTTGATTTAGATTGGATAGTAATGGTTTTTTTTTGACAATTATTTATAATAATATTTTATTAAATTCAATAATTTTAGAATTCATCGAAGCATAAGTAAAATCTTACTGCAAATTCATAATTGTGTTCAAAAGTGAACGACATTGTAAACACTGATATAGCAAAACGTGCGCATGTCACATGCATGCATTGTACTTATTGCTGGTTACGTTTAATTCTGAATGATTATTTAAATTATCCAAGTTACAATGTAATTAAATAGATAATTATTAATAAGAAATAAAGTTTGAACGTCAAAAAAAAAAGTGTTATTTGCAAATATTTATAAATGCCGTTACATATAATTGAATTAATTTGATTTTTTTTTAATAAATGTCCACCTATGACATATATTTTCTTTGTGTCATTTGTCAAAAATTCAAATTCTTATTTGAAAAGTAATTTTTAATAGTACTAAGTTAACCAATCATAGATTTATTCAAATCAATAGAGATACAAAACTACTGAGAATTATCAATGGAAAAACTACAATAATTATATATAAAATAATTTGGTCTTTTTTAAGATAACTGTGGTAAATATTTATTTTTACAAAAAAAAAAGAAATATTAAAGCAAATTAGAATTTTCAACTTGTCGCTATCATCATCATCATCAGCCCATGCTCGTCCACTGCTGGACATAGGCCTCCCCAATTGCTGAAATCCGGGCGGCTGCTATAACCACTAAACTACCCAGGACTTAACTATATACAAATAATATAGATCGTTTATGTTTATGTATGTCAGAAGACAATTCTAAATTAGTTAGAAGGAATACAAAGCAAAGGTATAATATTTCTATTACTTCGATGAACACGAAGCACGATCCATTTACAGTTTTGCAAGCTTTCATTTAAGCGAAGCAGTAACATGATTGTAATTATAAACAATACCACTTGAGATATCCGATTATGCCTATCTGGACTGAAACATTATATTCATTTTACAATAACAATTAGTATTCGAATCGAAGTTCTTAGATTTTTTTTTGTAGTAAGTAAGATTATTCACAGGAAAACAATATCGTAACAAAGGAATGATAATAATGACAGGTAGTTTTCAAAGTAATAAATAAGTAAAGAAAAGATTTACAAGAAAAAAAAATTAAAAGTGTACTTGGGAAGTGTAAGTTATGTTAGCTGTATTAAAAATCTTTTTGTGACTACTCTTATAGTATTATTAGATTGCAATAAGGTACAGCACGGATGATGATGAAAGAATTTTATGGAAAGCATAAGTTATGTAAACTGTATGAAAAATCTTTTTGTTACTTTTGTTGGCAACTAGGTACAGTATGGATAAGGAAAGAAAATGATGAAGTGATTTTATTATGAAGGTATTGGAATGAATGTACAAGTTTATTTAAGGATGTTTGGGAATAATTTGGTTTATAAAATTTTCCATGCAAACGGACTGATCACCCAGGAGCTATGAAATTCTTATTAATCAAAATATTCATTATTATGGATTGTGAATTAAAATGAATTAGGAATGAAAGTTAATGAATTAAAATGCTCGATTATACGGTACACAATAAGAAATGGGTACTATAGGGATCGGGTCCTTCAGTCTTATCAATTGACGAACGAGATTCTCATTTGAATACTGTTGGAGACCAAAGAATGTCTTAATTCATGACCCTATGAAAAGAAATGTGTATGAAAATGGTACATGGAGGGTCGGATCCTTCCATTCGATCATGGTGCAAACGAGATTTCTCCGTGAGATAAGTTGGAGTCCAAAAGAGGCTTAAACCATGACCCCCAAAATAATTAGGTTGTGGCCACAACCCAAATGGCATGATATTGTCCATTTAATATTATAGAATATGTAAAGTCGACTATAAATAATATATGTACCAATATGAATAAATAAAATGAAAGTGAAAGAACGCCGGCGCCGAGCGAAACAGGTGAGTGAAATAATGCGTATAGGCAAAGTACCTACGTGTGTAATGTGTTATGAAATAAGTGTACCCAAATTATATGAAATTAAGAATATGAGCAAGAGTATGGAATAAAGTATGATTTAATAAATGTGAAATAAAGATGATAGATGATGAAATAAGTATATAGGTATTGTTGGTATTGTGTGGTATTAAAGAATTAGAATCATAAAAAAAAATGGTGAAATAATGACGATGAAAGCTTAGTTAAACGGATGAAAATATATAATATACAAAGTGCTAGAAAATGATAGGAAGAAATAGGTAGAATATTGATATGTATTTGTAAAAAAAAAAGAGGATAGATATGAAATGATTAACGAATACTCAAGTGATTTGAAAGAAAGTTTCTTAGAAAAGATAGTTTTTAAAAAAAAATAAAATAAAAGAACTGTACTGAAGTATGTGCTATTTTACATTAAAAATAATAATTTCAAGATAGATTTATATTATATGGACATGGACACAAAAAAAAATTCTAAACTAGCACATAAATATGAAAACAAAGTGAACAGTATCTTCTTTTCTTTACATATTAGTAGTGTTGATTTATTAAGTCACTATATATGATATTTTTTTTTATGAACGAGAAATAAGATAATTTTTTGGCAATCTTAATTTTAAAACATAAGCAGTGCAATCTAATCCACACTTTCATGAAAATCCATATAAAGAATTCATGTATAATTGTATTTTCGATAACTCTCTAATATCGAAAATATTCATATGCAATTTGTATATCTAATTTGTAAGAGTTTATTTTTTCTTTGTGAAGTTATTATAACATAAAACTATATTTTATTAAATAACTTTTAATAACGGTTTTTTTTTTCAATAAATTAATGATAACGATTTTTTTTAATTAAAGGGTATAATTTCAATTGTGTTGTATGATATATTATTATATGTTGTGTTTTATTATTTGTATCTTATTATAACAATGAATGTAAAAATAAAGTTTAATAATTTCCAAACAAATTAATAATGTTATGTACAATATAAATTCATTTTACGTAATTGCATAAGCTGTATTTCTGTAACAAAATGTTAGTTTTAGCATTACATGCAAGTATATAACTTGCTTTTCATATATAACTTTATAAATTTAAAAACAATTTAAAATAATAAAAATAATAAAAGGTTTTATAAACAATATTTAGCTAATATCGTCAATATGTATATGTACTTATAAAAAAAATGTAATCTTGATTTTTTTTATTTTTTTTTAGGGGGTAGGTGTAGTGTGTGTACACACACACTCATCACTCCTCATTATATATAAGCCAATGTTAACGTAATTAAAGATATTATTATAATCGCAGTCAGACTGTCATTTCATACACCCGAACCACCAACACTGCACCACAAAACATTAAATTTGTTATTTTGTTACATTATATTTGTTTATCTGATTTTAATCCTATTCCAAATTCCTTATCATATTCCCTTCCATGTGAAAATAGCATTGTTCAAGAACTACGGAGGCTGATACATCCTGTGAGTGTATGCGGCAACTTTACGCTGTTGGGATGAGGCCGATGTACCATGTGGGTACACGCGGCAATCCTATATCTTTTCTGGGATGAGACCGATGCACCCTGTGAGTGTACGCGGTAACCCATCATCAAATTTTGGAATGAGTCCGATGCGCCCTGTGTGTGCACGCGGTAGTCCAA